TGGAGGTGGGGATTCATGGAGGAGAAGACACAGCCTGGTGACCTAACTGCTGATGTGCTCATAGATTTCGCCTCTCCCACTCTCTTTCTGCCTGCATCACGTGGTCCCTCTGGTCTGGCTGAATTGGCATCATTACAGCAGCCAGAGCTGAATGTCTGTGGTTGGCTCGTCGCCCGTCTGCTCGCCTGTCATTCAGCTGGTTAAAGAGGCCTTGTTGAACCGCTGCACTGTGCCCGGCTACTACAGGGCCATTCATGCCTGTAACGGCAGAAACAGCCAAGTCCTGTCATCAGCGCTAGCTAGCACATACCAGTTTACTACTGGAAATGACAAGGGCATTTTGCTTGGTAAGCACAGTTTCCCCCGAGCAAACCTTGTAACCTGTTTTATTTTTCTGAAAGTTTAGATTACATTTCAGAGAATGCGAAGCGAGTGTCTTTAGACAAACACAGTGTTTGCGTCTCGAATATGTTCTGTCTCTGTTGCATGTGCGCCGCCTACATCGAGTGTAAAGTGAAATAGACTGATCCGTTCCCCAAGGAATCATACAACAACAGCACAAAACAACAAAACAGATCCTTTGTGCCGCCTCGGATGCTGGAAATTTCAAACAGAGGACTTGAAAATGCAGTTTGTCACTCCGAGAGAGTTTTTTTTTTCCTCCTCTTGCGTGTCAGCTTCTCTGTGTGCTGTTGCCTAATGGCAGCTCATCCTGTCACACATGACCTGTGCCTTAGCTGAAACACTCTCCATCCACTCCCCAGTCCCAGTGTGACACACAGAGTGAGGACATGCATGAGAGCCATGACTTCATCCTGCTCTCTCCCTCCTTTCTCCGACTCCTCTTTGCCTCCTCCCCCTCCTCATCCTTCACTCTCGCTCCCTTGTACTTTTTGTCTTGCTCCCCTACCCCTCGCTCCGTGTCTGCAGTCCTAACATCTTCCTGCTATGATTAGCTATAGTGTTTTTTCCCCAGCCAGTGTAATGTCTAGAGCCTCCCGTGTCCTTGGAAAGCAGCCTAATAAGCTCAGACACACACTGCTGTCTCTGCGCTCCACAGGCCTATTCTCCAGTGTCACCCAGCGCACACTGAGGTAAACAAAGACTGCCACACACACGCACACACGCACTACCCTAGAGTGCTAATAGACCAGCATACCAGCCCGCTGAGGGCAGCGTTGACGCTAGCTTGCTAACGTTGACCTTCCGTGTGCCAATCACAACAAATCTGCTCCCTGATTTGAATACGGGGAGGAGAACAGTGTAAATTGAAAGCAGAAATCCCCCTGGTGTGAGACAAGATGAGCCTCTGAATAAATTATTCAGATGGCAGCCTCTTTCCTGCATGATTCTCGCCTTCTGCTACGTTTAATGGCATCTGTGACGGTGCCCATTGGAGATTAATCCAGATGTAAGACGTTTGTGTGTGTTTGTGCATGTGCGCTAACATGTATATGTGTGTTTCTGTCTGCCTGTGTGTGTGTGGCCTGCTCACCCCTCTTCTCATGCATCCCGTTGTGTCGTATGATGGGGAAACAAAGCCTCAACAGGGGAATTGATGTCTTCTCCGGAGAGGGCTGTAAATAAACAACTAGTGAATCAATGCCTCCATTTGTTTTTCTCTGATAATTCTGCCTGTGTCGTGAGGCGGTGTGACAGTGTTTTGCAAGCCGGCGGAGCTCTCAGCAGCCATATTTCCTCTCGGCGAGAGTGAGAAAACATGCCACACCGGCCTCATGTTTCATTACCAGGGATCAGTAAATTACTGTGTGCTTTTTTATTCCGCTCACTGCAGCTCATTTAACACCATAATGTAGCGGTTGTATGAGTGGGAAATAATACCGGCATTAGATATTGTGCTTTAGAGCTACTCAGTCAACTAAAGACACTCGGGCATAGAAATTACCAGGTGCAATTGAATAGGAAAACCCACAGCAGGTTCTGTGGTGAATGTGATTCAGTCTGTGTGAGCATCATTGATTCGCTGCAAAAGGATGACCTTCCCCTGACACCAGCGTTTACAAATGGTTGAAATATACTGTGTTTGTGAATACGCTGTTTGCAACGATTTTTATATTTTCATTTTTTATAATAGAAGTGGTTAAAAGTGTGTTTGTAAGCCATTTTTCTTATGAGGGAAGGTAAATTCTTAAAACCTGTTAAAGGCTCAGTTCACCCAAATTACAATGAAGCACATTTTTGTTGCTTCTGGGGTCTCGTACACACAAAATGAGGCCTGAAAGAGTCGTACGCCATTTCCCACGAAAAAGTTGTGATCTATAAAAGCAGACTTGATGGGAGACACTTTGACCCATGCTTACGAACATTTTGGAGACAGGAAATTGGCGTCGCCGATGGTGAGGTTGAAGCCTGATTGTAGAAGCTGTCGAATATTTCTTGGAGCACGCCATTTTTGGCTTTGTCTGTACGTACATTTCTAGTATGGATCCTACGCAGTGGAGGTGAGAGAATCCTAGCTTCTGTTGAGGCTTCGAATGTCTTTCGTCATATTTTATGACATCATCACCCTAAATAAATGAAAAATCCTCAAAGTTCAGTTTTACAAAAAGTAATTCATCAGATAATTAAGTGAGTCCTCTTCATTAAATCAGATTTTTTTAATAAGTACATCTAATTTATGGTGCTGTTAGATTGCTGTTAGACCTCCTGGTTAATACAGGAGTGTGCTTCCCTTTGTGTGTGGCAAGTGGGAGGGCAAACTGTTTTTGACCACACGGAAAATGCTGAACAAATGTTTGCATAGTACGTTATTATTTTGTAGTGGATAGGTTTAAACTTTGTTTCCCAACAAAGCTGTGGTGAAGGTGTGGTTAGGCTTAGGCTCCAAAACCATTTGGTAATGGTTTGGAAAAGATCATGTTTTGATTTAAAGCAACCAGGCCAAAAAGGTGCTGGGAAATGCCCTGGCTTGGTGCCACAAACACTCAGAGTGGGAATCATCAGAGGCTCCACAATACGATATTAGCATGATACAGTCACGATACAATATTATTGTGATTTTAAATATGTTATTGGGATTTATTACCTTTTTTCGACTGTAAAGTATGTCCCTAAAGGAAAACTGTCAGCATCTGTTTTATGTAATCAGATTAAGTTTTTAGTCTGTTTATTTCACTTTGGCCTTTTTTTTGGCAGCAAAATGTATCTAGTGGACTGAAAAAGCAACTGATTACATTACTCTAGTAGGCTACCTAAAGTTGAATTTGTATTTGTGGTAGTAATAATTTAAGTACTGTGTGACGATACGATATTGCCACATAAAAATATTGCAATACTATGGTGTATTGTGGAATGTGGAATTTGAATGTCAAAGTTATTAATGAAGCCTCAAAATATACGGTACAGCCCTACATCTTATTCCATAAACAGTCAAGTCAACTTTATTTATATAGCATATTAGCTCAATATGCTTAAGATACATAATACATGACAAATGTGAAATATCATATAAAATGATAAAGTATTACATATATTAAAACAAGCAGGACATGATGAAAACAAACGTAAAAGAAAAGGAGGTATTATTGTTATCATTATTCCTAAAAAAAGGGGAGATAACAATAATAATACTGATTCCTAAAACAAATCAAAATACATTTAAAAATCGAACTAAAAGCTTGCGAAAACCACTGTTGTAGCAGACCATAGTTCATGTGGAAGAGAATTCCAGAGAGTAGGACCCTCATTACTAAAAACACCATGAGCTGATAGAGAGCTGATTTTAGGTACAATGAGTAGACCTTGATTTGATGATCTAAGGGATCTCTGTGGTGTGTAAACAGTGTTTCTATTACTACTGGTAATGTTAAGATGGAGGCAGAAATCTCTCAGACTCAGGTACCACTGGAGATAAATAAGACAGTATGTTTTTTCCTTGTTTTTGGGCGGTTGAGGGGGTGAATCAGCCCTTTAAATAAACTGTTATTGTGCCTAAGTGCAGTTCTGTGGTCTTCAGTAACGATAGTGTGCAGAGCCAGGTCCTATAAAATATGAGGGGAGTTACTTGTATTAGCTCCGGCTCGATGACTAATAGCTGCAGTGAATAATGGTGTGAGCAGAGTGATCCCAGTTCTTTAGTTATAAAGGTAACCTCCCAGTGTGTAAACCTTGGTTAGGAAGAAATCATTCAGCTAACGCTGCTGTTGGTAATGCCAACATGACTACACACAAGAGCCTCTAATGAGCGCTGGTTTACCATGGATTCTTTGTGCTCAAGTACCCTTCTCTGTATCCCATATCCAAGTGTGAAATTACAATATCAGATCATATTTAGTTAATTAAACTCATATGACTAATTTAATTTGACTCAAATATGGGGGAAAATGAATAAATCATGGAGGCGTATTTAGCTTGCTAGTGCTGGTGTTAACAGTAATTAAATGTGGGGCAATCTGTAGCCTGTGAAGATAGCTCAAGTCCGCCTACTGTACAAGTACACATGTGGAGAAAATGTAAGCCAGATGGTTTTGGGAAGCAGACTAACAGAATATTAATGAAATGATGTGGGAGTTTCAAACACAGAAATAAAGTGAGTTAAAGATGCAGTCCTGTAAAGTGAGCCAGTGCATTAATAGTCGGCGAGCGGTCGTCCCATTAGGAGATCTGCTCATTGTTGTAGCCAGTGAAGAGCCAGAAGCAGAGGAGAAATATTCCTCCATGATTAGAGCCTGGAGAGTTCAAAGACAGCTGCTTCTGCAACTAAGACGGACGCAAAACACTCACGAGGAAGACGAGAAATCAACTTGTATTTGTCATTGAAGTATTTCATGTTTCATATTTGGCGGGGATTAGAGATGCACATTCTCTCCAGCTCTGTCAGTCCTTGTTATGTGCCTCCAATCTGTCAGTTGCACGACAGGGTGCTTTATTACATCTCGATAAATGATGCCACCTAAGTCTTGTTTTCCTATCACTAAAAAGCAGATTGTGTTTTGTCACACTCCCTGATGTGCGTTGCATTCTGCTTTGTTTCATTTCAGACTCGCTCTGTGATTGATGAGGATTAAGGAACGGATTTTGCCTAATAGGAAACACAGGAGCGTCCTCATCCACAACTGGTAAGGATCCTGATTTATCACCTATGTCTTCATCCAAGCAGTTAAGCATCAGCCCGTACGGCGATACAGATATGCTCCAGCGTGGTTTTGCAAACAAGATAAGGCGGCCGCAGTTTGGATTTCGTCTTTTGTTGTGTCATACCAGCCAGCAAACACACATTTTGTCCTAGAACAGAATGCACTGGTGATCACGCCATACAGTGTGCTTTCAATATAACTTGACTCAGAGAAGCAAAAGAACGTAGGGAACCAAACAATTAAACTCAAATCATCTGTGGAGAAAAGCGCCTTTATTGTCCTTATTTGATACTACTTTGTCTTATTTCCCAAACACTTCCAGAGAACAATATGGGACCACATGAAGACCAGAACACGCTGAATTAATCGCCCCGAGAGGTTGACCGCCATTTGTTTAGAATGAAAGCACATGTTTACGTGATGATTTACGTGATAGGGATTGAGATTTTGCGGTCCATGGCGTTTCCTCTTTGCATGGCGACCAGCTGGCGCTCGTCAGGTAACAGGGTAGTGAGTCACAAGAGCTCAAAGAAGAAGTCATTCTGCGCTTCACTGTATCACCATATCCTTTCTGATGTGGTCGATTTGAAAATGCCCCATTGAAGGATGTTTATAAGACCACATTCTTTCATGTGTACCACAGTGGTGATACCTTTCTGGCTCCGCTTCAAGCTGTCCCCAGGGTGTGAAACCTGAACAGCGGTGTTAGCAGTGTTGAACCAATGGTTAGTTAGTTACCATGTATGGCTATTGATCTGCCTCTATCAGTATCAGTCTCCAGGATGAGGACAACTGCTAATCGTCACATCCCGGTCCTCCAGTCATTTGCTTTCTTCTGCATAAACTGACTTCATTTGATGCAAAAACATGCATGAATACTGTGTTCAATTAGCCTTTGTACAGCATGAATATTATGTATTCATCCCTCGGACTGCATGAATATTAAGTGTTCATTTAAACCTTGCCTGAGAAGAAACACTCCATCAGTCGTCATCACGGTGTCAAAAACCTTTGACTGATGTGACGGATGATGTAATTGGGGTGAGCGAAGATGTGAGGAGACATCAGGCTAAAGGACGTCCTGTTACGGCCCCCGACACATCCGAGCAAAAAGGAGTCCTTGTCCCTCTGCTTTTGTTTTGGAGGCTGCGCAAAATGTCGACAGTGTAGTTTGTATACATGCGAAACGGCATCAAAGCGCTGGAAGGTGAATAATTTTTGGTGGCATCTGCACATTCTGCAATATGCTAATGAGCCAAGCTGCAAAAGCCAGATTGCCAGGAGAGAGAAGAGGAGATGGAGAGAGGGAGAGGGAGAGAGAGAGAGAGAGAGAGAGAAAAAGAGGGGAGGGAGCAGAGTGGAAAAGAGAGAAACAGACGGAGGCTGGTGTAAATTATGGATGCAACCTGCGATTTCCAAGAGGAAAAGAAAGGCAGAGAGAAACCTCAAGTCATGCATATCAGATTACGCATTTACCACATTTTCTTATCATGGTCCGTGAGCAAACTCGTATACAATCTGGCCCCTGTGTGTGTGTGTGTGTGTGTGTGTGTGTGTGTTTGAGAAAGAGACTGAGAAGGAGAGAGCACTTACACATTCATCCATGTCGAGTTGTGTGGAGCTGTGTTGTGCTGTCAAGCGTTCTCTGAACTTGATATGACGTGTGTGTCTAAAGCTGTGTTGACTTTCATTGCGCCATTGTGCTGCTTTGTATTGTGCGTCTCTGTGTGTGTCTGCAGTCACATGGGCCCTGATAGTTCACGCATATCATTTCAGCACGGAGCACGCACATGAACACAGTAGCAAATCTGCTCTGTCAGGCGCCGTTTGAATTACTCGACATCACTCAGATCACACTGGATATTTACATGACGTTGTTTAACTGCACTTGTCTAATGATACATGAGCTACCTGTTTTGTTTTGTTAAATATACTCAACTCTCTGAATGTGCTTTGATTGCAAGAGCAGCTCCAAGTTAAGTAAAAGTGAGTGTTCGTGTCCCACCACTGCCACATCCCACCCTCATGTGCCAGTCCCCTAACAGCCTCTGTGAATAATGGATCCATTCTTGAGTCATGTCTGTGACTGGGGCCTGTGCAGTGGTGTGGTTTCCCCACCAGAGGTGGAGGTGGAGGAGACGGGAGGGGCTGCTGGTCTGGAAATAGCTCTGCCTGAGCTGGGAGCACCTTAGGTGGGCCTCTGTGCCAGCCTCACCTTCCTTTAACACGCTCGCAACGACAAAAGCACAATTCTGCTTGGAAACCTGGCACGTATTACGCACCTATTTTCCAGCGAGATTGAAAGGAAATATGGCTTAACCTGTCTGCATTTAGCCGCGCCGTTTGAGTGATCCTCTCAAAGATGGCAGGAGAATTAGAAAACAGAATTCCGCGTTTTCTAAGAATTGGACGGGAACCACTTAAAGCTAGAAGTGTCTGAGCCAGGAACAGAAACTATGAAGCTGCCCTGGATTTTGCCTCCATGTAAATGTGTGTTAATGTGCAAAGTAGGTCATTTATTTGGAGCAGGGACAGCCGTAGTGTGCCTCTCCGGAGCGATGTCAGAATGGGGTGCAATCATTTCATAAGCAGACATATTGCTGGATTTGGTCAACAGTGCTAAGGATTTATGTACCAATATTTTGTTTATATGCCAAGCCCAAACTCTAATATACCAGAGGGGAAGGAGGGGGGTGCTGAAGGTGAAAATGGCTGTGGTCAATCCAGAGACAGCATCAGTAACCACAACCACAGATAGCAGCCTAAAAATCAGACTAAATCAGATTACCAAACAAACAGCTAAGAGGATTAATTCTGATCTCTCTTCCTCTCTCTCCCTCCCTCTCTTTTCCATCAGATGGACATTAAATCTGCAATCTATAAAATCCCTTCAAATGATTTTCTATTTTACTTTGCGGCCCCTCATTTTCTGGTCACATGTTTTTGGAGTGAAGCTCTTTCTGCTCTCAGTGAACTCTGCCCTTTTGTTCTGCCTTGAGGCCTCTAGAAATTGCTTTACTAAACAGGGTATCATATCGGTCTTTAAAAATATCTTTCACAAGGTACGACACGAATCCGACCTTGGATCAGATGCTGCACTGCTCTGTCTGTTAAGCCCCGTAATGTTATAATAACGTGTTCCATCCGGCACACTCGCTGTCAGGAATAAAGCTGTGCGGAGAGACGCCTGTGGCTCTGTGGCTGTCACTTCGACAAGCGGAGCAGCGTTCACTGGCACAGACCTAATTAATGGAAAACACAATATATAGAAAGGAATAATTACACCTTGTCCCTGGCTTTGGGAGATCAAAAATGTTTGCAGCATTTCTTAAGAATTAATCTCAGGGATGATTGTTGGTGTACAGTGAATCAGTGGCAGTACAGTATGTACTCTGGAGAGGAAAAAAAGGCTGTAGATTAATTTGGTTAATATTTCATAAAGCTTACAAAGGCAGAGGGCATTTGAGGCTTTTCAGATTATTTGTTCTCAGCCAATATTACACACCACGGTTGAGCTGCTGCGCCACTGCGCTGCAAAGTCTACAAGCTCTCGAGCACAACGCCAAGACAAGGCACTTGCCGTTAAAAGTGTTTGTCTGCGATAGTGTTGTTTGTGAAATGGGAGCCGTCCAGATGTACTGCTCCTTTTTCCTTTTTTTTTTTTCTTGCCGTGATGCGATTCAAAGGGGCCAGTTCTTCTCGCACAGCATCGTATCGCTCTCCTGAGTGCTGATAACTGCTCGCAGATTTGTATTAATATCCTCACTGGTACTCTTTGATATCAGCTGATTCATTTTGAATCTCCGCTCGGCTACTCACGCACACCCCGGCTAAACACAGAAGCACAATACAGCATTGCTCTTGACAGCTTGACAAACTGACAATCCCACTCTCAATCACTCCCGCTCCCTCCCCTCCCTCCCGCTCTCCCTGATAGAGCCGTATATTGTAACCAACAAGACTGTAATCAGCGCAAACCTAATCAAATCATTGCTCCAACAAGCAGCCCTGGCTGCCGGGCTTCCACGAAACACATCTCAGATCAAGAGGCAGGCTGCTTGTACAGCAGTGTGTACTATAACCAGCCGCTGCATGAAATGTCAGGAGAAGTAGGATTATTTCCGAAAATGTCACTGACAGCATAATAGCTCAGTAGAAGAGAGTCTCATGCTATGTTTGTATCTCATGTCAGCAGGTGTGATATGCGACACCGTGTGCGTTTCTGAGTGTGCAGAAATAAAAGTACACAAATGTGAAAGTAAGCAGAATGCTTTTTTTTTTTTTTTTTTTTTGTTGACTGAAACTGATGTGTGATTGGCAGAGTGTTCAAGCCATCGAGTTAGCCATTAAAGTGTGTGTTTTAGATCTGCACAAACAAATGCACATCTCCAAACCTCCTCATTATCGGCAGCAGGAAAGCTGCCTGGGCACTGGGACAACTTCTGTGTGTGTGTGTTTGTGCGCGCGCTTGCATGTGTGTGTTCGTGGCGCGCGCCGCATTCAGTCGAGGCTCATTCCAAGATTTGGTTAACCGAGTTGGCTCGCCCAATCACATTGCCACAGAGTGTGCAGTTGCTTCGGCCTCTGTCTCATTTAGTGGCACCCACGCTCTTGTGCTCGCGCCATGAAAGCACACAGACACTTGTGCTTTCTCTACACCCTAACAGACACATACACATGTGCACGCACACACACAGCTGAAGGAGAGAGTGACAAAGTTACAGAGAGAGAGAGAGAGAGAGAGTGAGAAAGAGGAAAAAATGAGAAAGTACCAATTAAGCTCCTCAGACAGTTCTGCCAACAGACATCAGGGGGTTGGAGGCGGAGAGTGTTTGTGTGTGTGTGTTTGTGTTGGAGAAAAGGGGGTAGGGGAGAGTGTTTGACTAGAGCAGCGGTCTCTAACTTTGTGTTACACTAAATCAGTTTTGTACTTTTCAAGTTTTTGAACAACTCATTACAGCGAGGTGTCAGTAACCTGCTGT